AACATAATGAAATCAAGGGGATTCGAATTGGAAAGGAAGAAGTTAAACTTTCGTTATTTGCAGATGATATGATAGTGTACATAAGCGACCCCAAAAACTCCACCAAAGAACTCCTAGAGCTGATAAACAGCTTTAGTAATGTGGCAGGATACAAGATCAACTCCAAAAAATCAGTCGCCCTCTTATACACAAAGGATATGGAAGCAGAGAGGGAAATCAGAGAAGCTTCACCATTCACAATAGCCAAAAACAGCATAAAATATCTTGGGGTACATCTAACCAAGGAAGTGAAAGATCTATTTGACAAGAACTTTAAGGCATTGAAGAAAGAAATTGAAGAGGATACCAAAAAATGGATGGACCTCCCTTGCTCTTGGATTGGGAGGATCAACATAGTAAAAATGGCAATTCTACCAAAGGCTATTTATAGATTCAATGCAATCCCCATCAAGATCCCATCAAAATTCTTCACAGATCTGGAGAGGACAATAATCAACTTTATATGGAAAAACAAAAAACCCAGGATAGCCAAAACAATCCTATACAATAAAGGATCTTCTGGAGGCATTACCATCCCTGACTTCAAACTCTATTACAGAGCTACAGTAATGAAAACAGTGTGGTACTGGCATAAAAACAGAGAAGTCGACCAATGGAATCGTATAGAAGACCCGGATTTTATCCCACAAACCTATGAACACCTGATTTTCGATAAAGGAGCTAAAAGTATAAAATGGAAGAAAGAAAGCATCTTCAACAAATGGTGCTGGCACAACTGGATGTCATCTTGTAGAAGAATGAAAATAGACCCTTATCTATCACCGTGCACAAAACTCAAGTCCAAATGGATTAAAGACCTCAATATCAGCCCGAACACACTGAACCTGATAGAAGAGAAAGTGGAAAGTACCCTACAGGAGCTGGGCACAGGAGATCGCTTCCTATGTATAACCCCAGAAGCACAGACATTAAGGGCAACATTGAATAAATGGGACCTACTTAAACTGAGAAGCTTCTGTAAAGCAAAGGACATAGTCAATAAGACACAAAGGCAACCTACTGATTGGGAGAAGATCTTCACCAACCCCACAACAGACAAAGGTCTGATCTCCAAAATATATAGAGAACTCAAGAAACTAGACTTTAAAATGCTAATTAACCCAATTAAAAAATGGGGCACTGAACTGAACAGAGAATTCTCAGCAGAGGAAGTTCAAATGGCCAAAAGACACTTAAAGTCGTGCTCAACTTCCTTAGCAATCAGGGAAATGCAAATCAAAACAACTTTGAGATATCATCTTACACCTGTCAGAATGGCTAAAGTCAAAAACACCAAGGATAACCTTTGCTGGAGAGGCTGTGGAGGATCGGGTACCCTCATCCATTGCTGGTGGGAATGCCATCTTGTGCAACCACTGTGGAAGTCAGTGTTTCGGTTTCTCAGGAAATTCGGGATCAACTTACCCCTGGACCCAGCAATACCACTCCTGGGAATATACCCAAGAGATGCTCTATCATATGACAAAAGCATTTGTTCAACTATGTTCATAGCAGTATTATTTGTAATAGCCAGAACCTGGAAACAACCAAGATGCCCTTCAATGGAAGAATGGATGAAGAAAGTATGGAATATATACACGCTAGAGTACTATGCTGTGGTAAAAAACAATGACTTCTCGAATTTTGCAGGCAAATGGATGGAAATAGAAAACACTATCCTGAGTGAGGTGTCCCAGACCCAAAAAGATGAACATGGGATGTACTCACTCATAATTGGTTTCTAGCCATAAATTAGGGCCACGGAGTCTACAATAGGTGAACCTAAAGAAGCTAAGTAAGAAGGTGAACCCAAGGAAAAACATATAGTTATCCTCTTGGCTAAGGGAAGAAGACCCAATTGCCGGGGAGAAAATTAGGATCTTGGGGGTGGGGTGGGATGGGGGTAAGGGGAGATGGGGAGAGAAAAGGTAGAAGGGAAGGAGGGGGGACTTGGGGAATCAGGAGAATTGGGATAAAGGAAAGGTGGATAGGGGAGCACGGAACCACAATTCTTAGTTAAGGGAACCACTTTAGGGTGAGCAAGAGATTTGACCCTAGAGGGGCTCCCAAGTGCCCAACATGAGGTTCCCAGTTAGTTCCTTGGGTAGCTGAGGATTGGGAACCTGAAATGACCCTATCCGAGAGCAATACTGACGAATATCTTGCATATCATCATAGAACCTTCATCTGGTGATGGATGGAGACAGAGACAGAGACCCACACTGGAGCACTGGACTGAGCTCCCAAGGTCCCAATGAGGAGCAGAAGGAGGGAGAACATGAGCAAAGAAGTCGGGACCACGAGGCGTGCACCCACCCACTGAGACAGTGGAGCTGATCTACTGGGAGCTCACCAAGGCCAGCTGGACTGTGACCGAAAAAGCATGGGATAAATCCGGACTCTCTGAACATGGCAAACAATGAGGGCTGATGAGACGCCAAGGACAATGGCACGGGGTTTTGATCCTACTTAATGTGCTGGCTTTGTGGAAGCCTAGCCAGTTTGGATGTTCACCTTCCTAGATATGGACGGAGCGGGGAGGACCTAGGACTTACCACAGGGCAGGGAACCTGGACTGCTCTGTGGACTGGAGAGGGAGGGGGAGAGGAGTGGGGGGAGGGGTAGAAGGGTGGGAGGAGGGGGAGAAGGGTGGGAGGAGGGGGAGGGAAATGGGAGGCTGGGAGGAGGTGGAAACTTGTTTTTTGTTTATGTTTTTTTTTCTTCTTTTCTTAATAAAAAAATTATTAAAAAAAAAAAGAAAATATTTTTATAAGTGAACCTTGGTGAATTACTTATGATGCGTTATTTCTAAGCAACAGGAGGTACTTTATATTTCTTTGATTTCCTTTATCCTAATATAATAATATCATACTGATTATATTTATCAAAACACTTGTATTGGAATTATTAACTGACAGAAACCTTTCCAAATATTTTTAGTCCATTTGTACTTCAGGAAACTTCAGTAGCATAAAATGCATTTATCATTTGTATTTTACATATGAGAATATTAAGGCCCAGAAAGTCAATAGTGTGCTAATCATAAAATTGAGATTAGAATTCAGAGCGTTTTTAATGCTGTGTCTTTGTCCTGTGGACAGCATGATATGAAAGGGATAAACATTAGCATTAACAGAGTTTCATTTTTTTTCAAAATATTTTGCAATACTTCAAGTGAACTTAATAGAGGTGTTTGTGAATCTTTATCATAGTCAACTATTACTCGGTTTAAAACCATCGTTTGTTCATTCAAAAATTTAGTCTTCATGGCATATATGTTCCTTCTACTGTATCAATTATATTATTTAGTTGCTAAAAGATAAAATAGAATAATATATAAAATGACTATTATGTAACCATCAGTCAGTAAATGTTCATTTCTTTCATACATGATAAAGTGGGTGTAAATATAATCTTCAGTCCCTGGGAAATAGGTTAAGGACATGTGTAATTCTTCTCAATTGTCAGAAGATGTCACTGTTAGGACATTGCATGAAAAATCGGTATCAAATTATTCCTTTAAAGTTAGGAAAATATAAAATTGTATAGGGCTTCAGTGTAGCTCATCATTAGCAGCACTTGCTTAGTATACTAAAGGCTCTTGAACATCAACACAAAAAGATATGCAATGGAACTAATAGTACATTAGTCACAGCTATAAACTATAGTAGGGGAACATATGTGACTTATCTGCAGTTCCTAATACAGCCTACTTTGTGACTGAGACACTAGGTAAGTTATTTCCTCAAGATATGGAAGACAGAGTTACATAAAGGGGGCAATTAAATTTAACCCTGGACATCAGGAAAATTAGTTTGTGACATGATCTGAAAATTAGTAGTTTTTTTTTTTAAAAAAGAACTTCTGTGAACACCTGTTTGGTTCTATCGTTGATTTGCAAAATAATTCAAGCAGTTTTGGGCAAGGAATAAGAAAATAAGACTTCTACTTATTGTCACAGTATATTCTCCTTGATCCTAAAAATCACTTTGTCACATATTCAAATTCTTTAGGTTGAACACATTTTCTCAATATTTCACTATAAACTGGGACAAAAGTACTTATTCTGTTGTTATAAAGATTAAATTTCTCAATCCATGCAATGCACGTCAATCATTACTACTGTAATGTAAATGATAGTTCTAAATGTTAGCTCTCAGCACTATTCCTATTATTGTGTAGTTGCCATATGCATTTAACATAGCCTGAAATTAGAAGACTACTTCTTTGTGGTGCAGAGGATTGAACCCAGGGGTTCATAGGTGGTAAGAAAGCATGCTACCACTGTAACACATCTCCAGCCCAGTTTATAAAACAATTGCTATGGTCTTAGTATAGTGAAATTACAAACCATGTGAGAAATGATAAGAACCCTGGATAGGATGGTGGTTGTAAGAATTCAGATGAAGCAAGTCTAGGAGAGATTGCCAAAAAGTTGACTTGATGACTTGTTGAATGCAGTGAACTAAGAAAAAGAAAGACTCTAAGACAGTGGTTCTCAACCTTTCTAATGCCGAGACTCTTTAACACAGTTCCTCATGTTGTGTGAACTACAACCAGAAAATTATTTTCATTGCCTCTTCATAACTATAATTTTGCTAATGTTAGGAGTTACAATATAAATATCTGATATGCATGATATCTGTATACACGGTCTCTGTTAACGTTCCGTTTGACACCAAACGTGTTGCAACCCACAGGTTTAGAGCCGCTGTTCTCAGACAATCTACAGATTGCAAACCTGAAAGAATGAGAAGTGGGTCTGGCTTAGGAAGGAATAGTGTTACTCACAGCATTATACATGTGAATAGCCGGACTGTTTAAACTGACTGTGTACTTCAGTTTAATATCAGATAATTTAATAAAAGTACCAACATAGTAATAAGCCTCGGGTGTCATTTTGAACAAAATATTCACATGTTTATGGAAGAATAAAGTATTCTTTTAAAATGTTTTTTCAGTACAATTCAGCAAGGAAGAATTCAAGTGGCAATGAAAATGAGGAGGTGAGACCAAGGGTAATATTGATTTGAATTCTTTACTTTCATATTGAGTTGGCTTGGTGAGAGTTAATGCATACCTGCTGTTGTTTTCTTTGCTACTGAGCACCAGTTTTCTACAATAATGAAAACTTCTGAGCATTGTCATATAGTTATTAATTTAACCCTTTGTTTTCTAGAACACAATTTTTAAGAGTTTTAGAGGTTTATCATTTGTTTTGGACCTGTAACCCATCAGTTTACATCTGAAAACAATTTTTTTTCTTGGAAATAAAATTACACTTGGCAAAATATGTAATCTATGTGAATTACCTTTGCCTAACCCAAATGCTGTTATCTTTTCATGTCTATCAGATAGTTTTTATGGAGACCCCCTCCAAAAAAATAAGACGGTTGTTTCCAAAACGTTCCATTATTTCTATTATTTCCATTAGTATCTGTGGTAAATGATGAAAGCAGTTTTTGTGTAGGAATGTTTTCTAGGTTGCTGTTCATGACTGCAGTCAATTCCTGTGTACCTGCTGCTTGCTTTCCATTGCACTTTGTTATATCTGTTTGACCCTTACATTTTATTCCTTCTTATGTCATAACCCATTGGATGGACTCTACAGTGCTGGTTTCAGTGTGCAGAGTTTTGACGACTAATCCCAGTGGATCTAGTAATAGCTCCTAGTTTATGACTCTAGTCTGTACTTTACCATCTAGCCTAAGGCTTTTGTAGTAATGTATCCTCTTTCTTAGGTGTTTGGAACCTTCTGCTCACCTAGGATTCAACACATTCATCTTTTTTCCATGCCTCAAACATATTAACATTTTAAATTGATGTAGTAGCTTTTTCAACCTAGGTTGCACAATGAAAACTCATGATATCTGGATTTTACTCACAGATATTCAGATTTAATTGGTGTGTGTGTGTGTGTGTGTGTGTGTGTGTGTGTGTGTTTAAAAGTTTTCCATTTGAGTTTATTGTGCAGGCAAAGGTGGTAACTACTTTGTGAAATTACCAACTCCTTTTTAGACAAAGCAGAAGGATGAAACCTGGCCCACTTGCTATATTTCTAAGTAACTTTTAAATACAAGAGAGTTACAGCCACTTGCCTACAGATGCTTTTGCATTCTAATGACAGAGTTGTGAAGTTAGTACCGAGACCATGTTGTCCACAAAATCTGAAGTGTTTAAGAGACAGCATTCTTTGAACTCCAAGTTAGAGGTTCGCCTTGGCTGTCGTCCCTGCCCTCATAGTCACTTTTCTCCCACCTGTTTCAATGTCTAATCCATTATGAAAACCTACTAATTCACTTGTTTATTTTTTGGGCACTGAAATAGTTTATCTACTCAACCTTCTTTTCCATCTTTGCTACCTTTGCATAGATTTTCAGTCTTTTTTGCTTGGATTGGTATAACAGCTTCCTTGCTTTTCAGTATTTATATTGTCTGTCTGTTTGTCTGTCTATCTGCTTATATTTATCTATAATCAATCTATCAATCAATCTATCTATCTGTCTATCTATCTATCTATCTACCCACCTATCTGAGTGTGACACAATGCATGCATGTGTGTGCACCATTTGTCAACTTCCAGTGTCTTCCTCAGTCCTTTTCAACATTGTATTTTGAAACAGGGTCTCTTATTGTATCTGATGCTCACAGATTCAGCTGGGCTTGCTTATCTGTGAGCTCAAAGGATTCACCCCTCTGCTTTCTCATTGCTAGGAACACAGAGACATATCATCAAGTTTGTCATTGTATATGGGTACTGGGTATCCCAATTCGGATCCCGATGCCTGTACTCCAAGCACTTTACCATCTGAAATGTCTCCCCACACCTCTTCTCTCTTTGGTACACTCTCCTTACTGCTTTCATAATACAAGTAAAATAAGGCCATTTCTTTGTTTAAAAACCTTAAGTTTCACCCCATGCCTTACAGGGTAAATTCCTAGTCTTTACTGATCAAGTCCCTGGTAACCATATCAGCATAAACTCACAACTTGCCATCCTTTCACTTTTTGCCCTGTGGAATTCAGAGTTGTTTTGCAGTCATTTTTTTTAATTTATTGATTCTGTGTCTGTTCTTATCTTTTCAATTTACCTGACTTTTACTGAACTTTACTTTCTCAAGAAACTTATATTTTTCACCTTCCTTTTCTCTACAGTTTCTGTGTAATCCATATATAGACTGGAAATGTTATCTTAACTTTGTCTACTCTCTAGACTGAGATATTCTTTAAGCATGATATTTTACAAAATTTCCTAATATCTTTCTCTTTTTATAACTTTTGTTTTGTTTGTTTGTTTGTTTGTTTTTGTTTTTTCAAGACAGAGTTTCTCTGTAGCTTTGGAGCCTATCCTGGAACTAGCTCTTATAGACCAGGTTGGTCTTGAATTCACAGAGATCTGCCTGCCTCTGCGTCTTGAGTACTGGGATTAAAGGCGTGCACCACCACTCCCCAGCCAACGTTTTTTATTTTTAACACAATCTTATTATACATAGCAATCCCAGTTCCCTCTTTCTCCTATCCTCCACTCCCACTACCTTCTCGTAACCCTACCCCCATCCACTTCTCAGAGGGAAGCCTCCTATGAATAGTCAACAAAGTCTATCACATCACTTGAGGCAGTACCAAGACCCTCCTCCCTGTATGTAGGCTGAACAAGATATACCTCCATAGAGAATGAGCTCCAAAGAGCTAGTTCAAGCACTAGAGATAAATACTGGTTCTACTGCTAATGGCCCCACAAACTGCCCATGCCACACAACTGTCACCTACATTCAGTAGACCTAGTTCAGTCTTATTCTGGGTTCCTAGCTGTCAGTCTTGAGTCAATGAGCTTCTTTTAGGTCATGTCAGCTGTTTCTGAGGGTATTCCCATCATATTCTTGAGCTTTAGCTCATAATATTGCTCCTCCCTCTCTATGACTAGACTCCAGGAATTTGGTCCAGTGCTTATCTGTGGGTCTATGCATGTGCATCCATCAGTTCCTCTATAATGGTTCTATGATGACAATTAAAGTAGACATCAACATGATTACAGGGGAAGGGCAGTTTAGGTATCCTATCCACTATTGATTAGATTCTTAACTGGTGTCATCCTTGTGGTTTTCTTGGTTTTCCTAATGTTTCCCTAATGAGGTTCCTTAGTTTCCCTAATGCCTGGTTTCTTGCTAACTGCACAATGGCTCCGTCTTTCAAGGTATCGCTTTCCTTGCTCTCTATCTCTGTCTTTTACCCAACTTGATCTTCCTGATCCCTCATGTTCTCCTCCCTACTCCCCCTTCTCCGCTCCACCATGCCCCTGCCACCCTACTGCTACGCTGCCAATTGACTATGCAGAACTTGACTACTTCACCTTCCTTGGGGGATCCTTGTATGTTTCTCTTAGGGTTTTCCTTATTTCTTGGCTTTGCTGGGGTTGTGGACTGTAGGCTGGTTATCCATTGCTTTATGTCTAATATCTACTTAGGAGTGAGTACAAACCATGTTTGTTTTTCTGTGTCTGGGTTACCTCACTGAGGATGTTTTTTTTTTCTAGATCCATTCATTTGCCTGAAGATTTCTAGATGTTGTTTTTCACTACTGAGTAGTACTCCATTGTGTAAATGTACCACATTTTCATTATCTCTTCTTCAGTTGAGGGGCATCGCAGTTGATTCCAGGTTCTGACTATTACAAATAATGTTGCTGTGAACATAGTTGAACAAATGTCTTTGTGGTATGGGTATGCATCCTATGGGTATATACCCAAGAGTGGTATTACTCCCTCTTGAAGTAAATTGATTCTCAATTCTTTAAGAAAAGATCACACTGATTTCCAAAGTACATGTTTGTGGTTGTACATGTTTGCACTTCCACCAGCAATGGAGGAATGTTCCTCTTACTCTGCGTCCTCTCCAGCATAAGCTGTCATTAGTGTTTTTGATCTTAGCCATTTTGACTGCTGTAAGATGGTATCTCAGAGTCATTTTGCTTTGCATTTCCCTGATGACTAAGGATGTTGAGCAATTCCTTAAGTGCCTTCTGGCCATTAGAGATTTCTCTATTGAGAATTCTCTGTTTAGATCTGTACCCCATTTTTAATTGGGTTAGTTGATATTTTGATATCTAGTTTCTTGAGTTCTTTGTATATTTTGGAGTTCAGTCCTCTATCTCAAGTGGGGTTGGTGAAGATTTTTTTACAATTCTGTAAGTTGCTGTTTGGTCTTGTTGACTGTGTCCTTTGCCTTACAGAAGCTTCTCAGTTTCAGGAAGTCGTATTTATTAATTGTCCATCTCAGTGTCTATGCTACTGGTGTTATATTCAGGAAGTGGTCTCTTGTGCCAATGCGTTCAAGGCTACTTCCTAATTTCTCTTCTGTTAGGTTCAGTGTTGCTGGATTTATATTAAGGTATTTGATCCATTTGAACTTGAGATTTATGCATGGAATAGATGTGGATCTTTGCATTCTTTATTTTTTATTGTTTTTGTTGAGCTATATGTTATTCTTCAATCCCTTCCCTTCTCTCCCCTCTCCTTCTACCCTTTCCCATCGTTCCCATGCTCCCAATTTACTCAGGAGATCTTGTTTTTTTTGTACTTCCCATGTCAATTACATCTATGTATGCCTCTCTTAGGGTCCTCACTGTTGTCCAGGTTCTCTAGGATTGTAAATCGTAGGCTGCTTTTTCTTTGTTTTATATCTAAAAGCCACTTATGAGTGAGTGCTTATGATATTTGTCTTTCTGGTTCTGGATTACCTCACTCAATATGATGTTTTCTAGATCTATATATATATATACCCTCAAATTTCAAGATGACATTATTTTTCCTGCTGTTTGTGTAAATATACCACATTTTCCTTATCCATTCTTTGATAGAGGGGCATTTAGGTTCTTCCCAGGTTCTGGCTATGACAAACAATGCTGCTACGAACATAGTTGAGCACATGTCATTATGGTACAATTGAGCATCCTTTGGGTATATACCCAAAAGTGGTATTGCTGGGTCTTGAGGTAGGTTGTTTCCTAATTTTTTGAGAAAATACCATACTTATATCCAAAGTCCCTGTACCAGATTGCATTACTGCCATCAATGGAGGAGTTTTCCCTTAACCCCACATTCTCACTAGCATAAGTTCTCATCAATGTTTTTGATCTTGGCCATTTTTACAGGTGAAGATGGAATCTCAGAATTGTTTTGATTTGCATTTATCTGATGGCTAATGATTCTGAGCATTTCCTTATGTGTCTTTCAGTCATTTTAGATTCCTCTATTGAGAGTTCTCTGTTTAGTGTTCTGTAATCCATTTTTATTGGATTATTTGTTCTTTTGATAACCAATTCCTTGAGTTCTTTGTATATGTTGGAGGTCAGCTCTCTGCCTGATGTGGGGTTGGTGAAGATCTCTTCTCATTTTGTAGGCTGCAGTTTTGTCTTGGTGACCATGTCCTTTGCTTTACAGAAGCTTCTCAGTTTCAGGAGGTCCCATTTATTAATTGTTTCTCTTAGTGTCTGTGCTACTGAAGTTATATTTAGGAAGTGGTCTCCTGTGCCAATGTGTTCAAGTATACTTCCCACTTTCTCTTCTATCTGAATCATCAATGGGTCAAGGAAGAAATAAAGGAAAATTAAAGACTTATTTGCATTCTTCTATATGTTGAAATCCATTCATGCCAACACCATTTGTTGAAAATGCTTTCTTTTTTTCCATTGAATAATTTTAGCTTCTTTGTCAGAAATTCATAGATATGTGGATTGATATCTGCATCTTTGATTCGATTCTATTCCATTGGTCCACCTTTCTGTTTTTGTGCCAGTACCAAGCTGTTTTCATTGATAGAGCTTTACAGTAAAGCTTGAAGTCAGGGATAAGGGTATCTTTGGAAGTTCCTTTCTTGTACATTTCTCACCCCGCTTTCACCACTGGACAGGACAACCAGACAGAAACTTAACAGAAATAAAGGAACTAACAGAAGTTATGACTCAAATGATTTTAACAGATATATATAGAACAAACCACCCACAACAAAAGAATATACCGTCTTTTCAGCACCTCGTGGAACCTTCTCAAAAATTGATCACATACTTGGTAACAAAGCAAACTTCAATAGATATTTTTAAAAAAAGAATAACCCCTTGTATATTATCAGATCACCATGGATTAAAGTTAGAATTCGACAACAACTCTAATTGCAGAAAACCCATAAACTCATAGAAATTGAATAATGCTTAACTGAATCACACCTTGGTCAAGGAAGAAATAAAGAAAGAAATTAAATACTTCTTAGACTTTAATGAAAATGAGTACACAGAATACCCAGACTTATATAGCACTTTGAAAGCAGTGCTAGGAGGAAATTTCATAGCACTAAGTGCCTACATAAAGAACTTGGAGAAATCTCACATTAATGACTTAACAGCACACCTAAAAACTCTTGAACAAAAAGAACCATACTCACCCAGGTGGAGTAGATGCCAGAAAACAATCAAATTGAGGGCTGAAATCAGTAAATTAGAAACAAAGAATCAATGAGCCAACTCAACATGATAGACAAACACTTATGAAAACTAACCAAAAGGCAGAGAGAATATGCAAATCAACAAAATCAGAAATGGAAAAGGGGACATAACAACAGGCACTGAGAAAATTCAGAGAATCATTAGGTCATACTTGGAAAATCTATACTCCACAAAATTGGAAAATTTAAAGAAAATGGAAAAATTTCTCTGTGCTATATACCAAAATTAAAACAAGAATAGATAAACACTTTAAAATAGACCTATAACACCTAGGGAAAAAGAAGTAGTCATCAAAAGTCTCCCAACCAAATAACCCAAGGGCCAGAGGGTTTCAGTGCAGAATTCTACCAGAATTTGAAAGAATAACTAATACCAATACTCTTCAAGTTGTTCCATGCAATAGAAACAGAAGGAACATTGTCAAACTCTTTTTTTGAGGTGATAGTTACCCTGGTACCCAAACCACACAAAGATGCAACTGAAAAAGAAGTACAGACCAATGTCCCTCATGAACATTAATGTAAAAATTCTCAGTAAAATACTGGCAAACCCAATCCAAGAAAACATCAGAAAAAAATCATCTACCATAATCAAGTTATCTTCATCCCAGAAATGCAGGAATGATTCAAATGTGAAAATCCACAATATAAACAAACTGAAAGAAAAAAGCCACATGGTCATCTCATTGGATATGTAAAAAGCCTTTGACAAAATACAACATCCCTTCTTGATAAAGGTGAGGGATACAAGGAACATACCTAAGCATAATAGTGGCAATATACAGCAAGCCAACAGTCAACATTAAACTAAATGGAGAGAAACTCAAAGTGATTCGACTAAAATCAGGAACAAGACAGGCTGTCTACTGTATATCTATTCAATATAGTACTTGAAGTTCTAGCTAGAGCCATAAGACAACAAAATGAGATCGTGGGGATACAAATTGGAAAGTAAGAAGTCAAATTTTCACTATTTGCAGAAGTTATGGTAGTTTACATAAGTGACCCAAAAATTATACTAGGGAACTTTTACAACTGATAACCACCTTCAGTAATGTAGCAGGATACAAGATTAACTAAAATAAATTAGTACCCCACCTATATACAGATGATAAATGGATTGAGAAAGAAAGTGGTAAAACATCACCCTTCACAATAGCCACAAATAACATAAAATATCTTGGAGCAACTCTAACAAAACAAGTGGAAGACATGTATGACAAAAACTTTAAGTCTCTAAAGAAAGAAATTGAAGAAGATATCAGAAAGTGGAAAGAACTTCCATGATCTTGGATAGGTAGGATCAACAATAAAAATAGCAGTCTTACCCAAAGCAGTCTACAGATTCAATGCAATGCCCAGCACAATTCTATATAGACCTTGAAAGAATAATACTCAATTTCATATGGAAAAACAAACAAAAAAACAGGATAACAAAAATTTCCTCGTTCTTAGTCTCTAGAATAGTATCTGAGAAATAATCACTTGTCAGTTGAATGCATGCTTAATGTGGTATTCATTTTTCGGGTTAAATGTCAAGAAATTTTCATTTGATTGTCATTAATTCATTCCTAAACCATAAACCATTTATTGATATTATTCCATTAAATTCATAAATATTTCTCTACTTACACTATATGCGTAATCTTCTAGTTAGTTTCTTACTTACCGTGATGATCTCTTGCCAGGCTTCATTGCTGTGTCTGAAGGGGAAATACATCTTACCTATTATGTCTTGATTATATTTTTGAGTCTTTAAAATTCTTATATATCATTAGAGGCTCTTACATAGAATCTGATTCATTGTTACTTGCAGCCAGGGATCATTTATGTCTAAAATTTCCCAGCAATGTCTGTACTGTGGTTCATCAAGAACATTTAAGTAGCAAGATGCCATACTGTACATTGTCAAATCCTCTTTTGACAGTTGATCAAAACAATTTTCCATTGTCTTTTTGTATGTTTAAATCATCATTGTGTATTTTAATTTCATCTTTCATGTTTTTATTTTTATATTTTAGCAAGAGAGTGATAATGCTCATATGTCACCACAGTCTCCAGTATCATCCGAGGTACAAGTTGTTTTAATGCTTTGTATCTTTTCTGTGTTTTATAAAGAGTTTTTTTCTTACCTCCTTTCTAAAACTTCATCTTTTTTATACAAAGTCATTTATTTACTTCTTTTTGAAATCAGTAGTTGATTACTATGTACAAGTTTCATCTGTAAAAAATTTTGAATACTATTCCTGTGTATGAATATCCCTAGTAAATTTCACTAAGTTGTGGTTTTCTGTGGAACATATTTCTACATCACTGAATATAAGTCAATTTATGATATGTATGCCTTCTTATTCCTCTATATTTAAAAATAAGTGTTGGATTTTAACAATAGCTTTGGAATTTTAATTTTAAAAATGCATTAAGCATTGTGCAATGGCCTTTGGTTTTCCTTGTAACTAATAAGGTCTGAAAGCAATGCAAGAGAAATGTCCTTTTTCCACGAGAAACAATCCTGTAGTGGATTGTTCCTATCGACAGAAGGTCACACGTTTCCTGGCATCTTAGATCTAAAGAATAATGGGAGAGCTGTTATATGAAAGTCATAATTTCTAAAATTTTGTTTAAATACTATGGTTGTTTGAATGATGAGTTCATGTAACTTAATCTTATTGCTTTACCACAAGAACTTTAAATATTTTAAATATTATCTCATTTAGTATTGATCACTTTATTTAGTATTCTAAAGTCTATTTTTATTAGTAGGAAAACAATAATTCGTTTGGAGAATTCACATCTGAAAATTTTTGATTGACCTGAATTTATTGTATAAACTTGATTATATAGATTTTTTTCATTATATGTACATAGATTTGTTTTTTAGAAAACTGAGATTTTTTCTGTATTACTTTGTGTGATTTGTATTATAAAACTTTTCTATGACCATGAGCATGAGTTTAATAAAAATATTACTAAATTATATGGAAAACAAAGTAATATATATTGTGTTAGAAAACAATTTTAATTATGGTATCCTGAAATTAGTCATAGTTGCATGCTTTTTAAATCCTTTCTTTGTAAGTTATAACAACTGTAAGAATAGACATGCCTACCACTTGGTTTGCATTGCTGCTTTGTGTGATGTTATGGCTTATGTATATATACCAGGAAGTGTACTAATGTCTATTTTTCTCAGGTAAGTTCTACTGCTTTTATGAGTTTTGTTTTTATTTGGATAAGTAGAACTTTGTTCAGTAATTTATAACAATTTCAACAAAATAAAGAAGACCAAACATAGGATGTATATGGGTGGGATGCTGGACGTGTTTTCCTAGCTCCACTCACGTTCACATTGAGCTGTCTAGCACATCTAGAGAACATTTAGACACTGTACAGAATTCTTACTGCCACAGTTTCATGTGAGAAGAAAATGGTAAAACCTGTTAGTGTACCACATTAACAGAGTCTCTCTGTTTTGTTTCAGCATAAATAGAGTCCCATTTTAATGTGCCTTTATTGTTTTGTAGCTGAAAAATCCAGTAGTTTTCCCCAAAAGCCTAGACAGTAAGTGGCAGAGAAATAACTAAAACTTTTGCCCTAACAGTTTTGGGCAGTTGTTACCCAGAGTCAAAAGGTGCTGCCATAACTGCATTTTATTTATATGTTTTTATAAATTATAAAATTTATAAAACACTTTTAGTTACTTCATTTAAATCCATTTGAAGTATATGGACTTAATCACATTAAATGAAATGTTTACTCAAATATACTTTTGTAGGAGGAGGAGGGCCCTCTTGTTCATCCCAGCTGCCCAGCTAGCTTAGCCCCGAAATAACCACACAGAAACTGTATTAATGAAATCACTGTTTGGCCCATTAGTTCTAACTTCTTATTGGCTAACTCTTACATATTAATTTAACCCATTTCTATTAATCTGTATATCATCATGAGGTTGTGGCCTATCAACAAATTTTCAGCATGTCTACCTCTAACAGTGGATCCATGGCATCTCCCTGACTCCATCTTCTTCCTGCATCCCCTTTAGTTTTTCACTACCTATCTCTCTTCTCGTACATCTCTGCTATACACCCACAGCAGTTTCTTTATTAACCATTGAAAGCAACACATAGACAGAAGGACCTCCTACACCATACTTTAGGCTTTTTGCACCAATCGGGAATTTCTTTAATGTTATGTGTATCTTTCCATAGCTCACCATGACTTTCAGAAACACTTTAAAATAATGTGTGTTCAGATGGAAGAGATAATGATTTGCTCTCATCTATTATTCTAAAACTCCTGTAATTGTGGATTGGCCTCAAATTTTCCACTAAGTATCAAGTCAGTAGTACATACAGAGTCCATGTTGATCTATCTTTTAATTGATTTGTTCTTCATTATTTTAAAAACCTTCACTTAATTCTTCTTTTTAAAAAATCTGTCTTACCTTGTAAATTATTTTCCTTTTTTTCCATAGTATCCGAAAATATGTGCTGGTAAGATACTTCTCTTGGTAAAGGCTTTTGCCACCAAGCCTTACCAACTCAGTTTGATCGCAAGGACCGATATTATTGAAGAAGTAACTCCCCCAAATTGTTCTCTTACTTCCATCTCCCCCCCCCCGGCTCTTTCTCATACACACACACACAAACACACACACACACACACACACACATGTGAACATACATAATTACTTTTTAAAAGTGAAATAAAGATTTAAAGTTGTATTCCCAGGTAAATCAGGAATATTTATTGACTTCTAAACCGAGAAATATATAAACTTGAATTGAAATCTAGGTTGAGTTTCACTATTTAAGAAAACATTGGAAATAAAGATTTCTCAAAATTGAAACAGGTATGAAAAGGTGCCTGGATAATTTTGGAACAGCAAGGGTTTTGCTTTTTTTCCTTTTAGGAATACGACAGGACTGATGGCTTTTCACATGGTCCCTTTGGCTTGAAGCCTAGATCAGGTAAATATATAGTATAGTCTTCAAATATAATTTGGTGTCTTCTTTGTTCATTATAGAGTTTCCCAGCTTAAATGACTTAGAATCCATAATTTTATGTATACAATGATCCTTTCCCCTCTTCTAGAAGCAATTTTCTCTTGATCATATTTATCTTTGCAATTCCCAACACCATTTCTGTCTTTCCCGTTACCTTCAAGCTCCTGTAACCTCAGCTTTTTGCCTTAGGTATCCTGCAGTTTTATTTCTCCCCTGCTGTGATTGCGATTAGAATGAGCCCTCTGCCAGCACACAAATGTTTGAAATTATAGCATTCCATTGTATTGTGGTTCAAAACAGGGATCTTTTTGCATTTGGCATGCCCCAAAGAAAATGGATCCATTTTACTTGGCAAGGTATTGAATTATAGTCTTAGTAGTGAATAACCACCTTGACCTTCCAGAATAATTTCCTTTTTTCTTTAAAGCTAGAAAACTGTCATATGTTGTATCATCACTTTTAACCTGGGTCATAAGTTTGTCAAAATATATAATTAAATAAGAACATACGTAAGTGCTGGAAATCATTGCACTTGAATTGCCTGTTGCTTTTCATCCATGCAACTAACGATCATTTACATGTAATTAAAATATTTGTAATGAATTATTAAAAATATCTTCCATAATTATCTACTGATATTTTTATCATACATATTTCTCCATGGATGGCTGTTCCCTTTTTACAAAAAGTTAGGGAATTTCTCTTTCTATACAGCCTTTAGTCGTGCATCTCGGCAAGAATATGGGGCAGCAGATCCAGGGTTTACAATGAGAAGAAAGATGGAGCATTTACGGGAAGAGCGTGAACAGATACGGCAGCTTCGCAATGTAAGTCACGATGACCTTGCACAGCTGCTTTACAGATATAGATTTCATTTCACAAATTCATATAGTAATTTTGTTTCCTAATGCTCTTTCAAATTTTGATCATATAATTGGTAATATGAATGCATGCCATACGTTTTGATATGACCTGAAAATTTATCCTCATGTCTTTATAGAACCTTGAGTCCAGATTAAAAGTAATTCTGCCTGATGACATAGGAGCTGCACTGATGGATGGGGTTGTTCTTTGCCACTTGGCCAATCACATAAGGCCACGCTCTGTAGCTAGTATTCATGTACCATCACCAGCAGTGGTAAGTAGTGTCAAAAGATTACTCTTTCTCCCAAGGAGAGCACAAGGTTTAAAAAAATGTCCTTAACTATTGCAATTAAGCAATACAGTTTTCATTATCAAATTGTTCGGCATATACATACTAGAAACGTTTGTCTTTCTTTTCTTTCTTTATAGCCCAAGCTGAGCATGGCGAAATGTCGAAGAAATGTAGAAAATTTTCTTGATGCTTGCAAAAAGTTGGGTGTTTCCCAGGTAATTATCTAACAACATCATCACTTAGTTATTAGTCTATTGTGTGGAAAGTAGAATGAGTAGAAGCATCTTCATAGTGAGGGATGAGTCATGCTTTGTGAGCACAAATTTGAGTTTCTTCTCTCTGTTCCTCTCCTATGCTCCTTCATGTAACTGTAGCATTTATCTAGTAAGTGCTTTTTAAACACTTCAAAAAGTCCTTTATAAAGCCTTTGTGAACAAAGTCTGTGGATTGTAGATACCACTGAGTAAACAGAATGTAATAATGAGAACTGAAATTTGATGGTGTCACCATTGTGTTGTTGTTTATTTCTTTCTTTGACACCTTTGTTGTTGTTTATTTTCATGCTGGAGATTGAACCCAAAGCCTCGTACATGCTAGGCACACATTCTACCACTTAACTAATTATAATTACTCTAGTTCTCTCTTGTAACTTCATGAGTCGATTCTGAATTGAATGTGGTTGACAGTTGGGACAAACTGAGGGGCCAATGACAATGGCACTGGGATTTATCTCTAGTGCATGTACTGGCTTTTTGGGATCCTATTCTTTTTGGATGTATACCTTGCTCAACATTGATGTAGTGGGGAAGGCCTTGGACTTTCTGCTGGGCAGGGTGCCTTGGCCTCTCTCAGGATTTGAGGGGTTGTGTGAAGCATGTGTGGAGGGTGTGGGAGAGAGTGGGAGGAGAGGAGGAAGTGGGATTTTGAATTGATACTTTTTTAAAGTAATAAAATTTAAAAAAAAGAAAGTTTACATTAGTATAACTATATTAGAACAATGAGACTGCCAAATTGAAAAAATCTTGGTTCAGGGCTGGAGAGATGGCTCGGTGCTTAAGAGCAGTAGCTATTCTTCCAGTAGACACAGGTTTAATTCCCAGCAGACAACTGGACCTCCAGCTCCAGAGATGCTGACACCCTCACATATACACACATGAAGGGAATACAAAAATGCACATAAAATAACAATAAGTAAATCACTAAAAAATAAAAATATATAACAAATATAAATCTTAGTTGTAGCGTGAATCCACAGGAGTCTGTTAATGGTTCTCAAGAATTTAGGTATAAAGTAGGGGTAGGCACTCACTGATACAGAACTGGTTAGATGTCATTGCTAATCCTGTTTCCTTCATCCAGTCATTTATTTGCCCAGGGGCTGCCTGCTTTGATTCTACCACCCAAGTGAGTGAGAGAGCAAGAGACCATTTCCCTCAGCTTATAATTTTTCATGTTATATAGGCAGAGAAGACCATGGACTTGCTGCAACAAAAGTCATTGGCTAAATGGATTGAAATCCCACAACACTTGTATTATATATGATAATATCTTGTAATAAACAAACTTTCAAATGAGTATAAATTGGATTGCATTTTACATAATAATTGCAGTATTACAAAATCAAATCAGTACTGTCAATAGATTAATATGTATCATAAATGTTGCCTATTTTGAAGACTTCAGGAACCTAATCTTATTGTGGCTACTAAGAAAAATAATATTTTAGACGACAATTACTTTGTGTTAAACTCTCTTTTAAAAGGTGACATTATTAACTGACCCTCAAATCCGACTTTAGCCCATGTCCTCAACTGAATAGACACCATTTATGTTGTTTAAAAGAAGCAGTGAATTCATGTGTACTTTGTTAACTACTCGATGTCATTTTATTATCTGTGATTTATATATGGTGCCTTAAAATTTTACTTCTTAAAGTTTATTTTTGTGTGCTTATAATTTCTTATGGAATTGAAAATTGAGGATTTTTTTATCCCAGCTGTTATTATATGATATTACATGTTCTTATTTTTACCATTTTTGGGGTTTTTTTGTTTATTTTTTTTTTTTTAGTTGTTGAAAAAAAAATTCTGCCTCCTCCCCGTTTCCCATTTCCCTCCCCCTCCTCCTACACATCATTTTTACCATTTTTGTTTTGGGGAGTTTTATATTTATGTTTGATGTGTATTATCCTGAACTTGGCACCAATGGTGTGTTATTGTTTTATTATTTCCTTGCTCTAGAACATTTTCTGATTTTTAAAATCTCTATTGGGATAATACCAATCTATAATAAGATACACATGTATAAAATTTGATGCTTTATACTTTAAAAAATATTCTGTCCAGTTCGTGATGGTCCACACTTTGAATCCCAGCACTCAGGAGGCAGAAGTAGGAGAATCTCTGTTAGTTTGAGACTGAATACATTCTATACAGTGAAATCCAGAAAAGTCAGAGCTGTTACACAGAGAAACCCTGTCTTGAAAAATCAAAAAAGGGGGGGGGGTGATGAAGTATAGTCCCCAACCACACTTTTTGTTCCCTATAGCTTTCATGTTATATCTAAAAAAAGGACTGCCTAATACAAGGGCGTAAGTATTTATTTATATCTATATGTTTTCAGAAAAGTTCTTCAGTGTTATTTAGGTGTATACTTCATTTTGAATGTCAGTTTTGTGTTTGATGTGTGATAGGGTTACAAATTTATTCTCCTGGGTATTAGTATCTACTTTTTCCAGCACAAGTTATTGCTAAGGCTGATATTTCTCCACTGAATTGTCTTGACTCTCTTGTCACAAATCTGTCATTCATAAATGGAAGGCTTTAGTTTTATGCTTCACGTTTTCCACACTGATTTCTTTATGGCAGCAGCACCCTGTGTGACTATAGCCTGTTGGGACATTTGAAAGACAGTGTGGATGCTCTTGTTTTATTCGATTTTAAGGTTATTTTGGCTGTAGTGATTCTTTTGCATTTCTGTACCAGTATATCAATGTTAGCATTAGTTTGCCAAGTTCTACAAAATGGCCACCTTAAATTTTTTTTGTAGATTATGCTGTTTTCTCTAAAATTTTTATTGGTCCAGGAACCTGAGATGTCTTTTCATTAATTGATACCTTCTAAAATGAATATATACAATGCATTATAGTTTTCATCATGTGAGGACAATGCCTCTTTGGTTAAATTAAGTATGGCATTATATTCTGCTATAATGCAATTATTATCTTAATTTGAAAACTTTTCAGATTGTTATTACTATTATGTGGAGATACACCTGACCTTTTTCACGTCAATCTTGCAAAACTCACTTCTGTTGGCAAGTAGGATATAGTTTTATAACCTAAGTGTTTTTTTTTTAGTTTGAACATTTTTCATTTCTTCTTGTCTAAGTGTTTTGTCTGGATTCCCTCATATGAGGAACACTGGTTGTGCCATCAGAAGTCTTTTCTTTCTTTATTTCAGAGAAAGTATTAGGTCCTTTATCATCTATTATGATATCATTAGGTACTAAGATATCTTTATTAAACCCTGATTCTGATTTATTAAAAAAATCACACTGGGTGATATATGGGTCTTCCATAGCTGTCCATCCAGTGACTTAATGCATTTTCCTAAGTTACTTTCTAATAGTTGTACAGTCTCTTGCATGAAATCCCATTTTCTCTGTACTTTTCTTCTGTATCACGGGCTCTGTGTGTGTGTCTGTAAATCCATTTTTTTTTGTTTAATTGTTTAGTTTCATTAATCATTTTTGCTCCATAATTGCCTTAGTAAATCACTGTTTCTCTTTATAGATTTTTGAAATCATGCAGTATTAGCTATTCTGAGTTGTTTGCATTTCCATATACTTTTAGAGTGATTTATCAACTTATATAGAAAAAGAAGAAAACCTAATTAAATTACTATAGAAATTTTGTTAAATTAATGGAGCAAAATAAAATTATATCTAATAAAACAATATTTTTCTTAACTTCTGTGTATAATGTATGTCCTTAGTGGAGTCTTCTTGAATTTCATTCACAGTTAATGTGGATATTAATTTAACATCTGGTCCTTTGTTGCTAACATATATTTATCAATGAATTTACAATCTTACTATGTAATTTTCCTACTCCCTTTCCTCTAATCATATTTTTTATGAATAGAAATAAACTCTTCTAGTTTTATTCACCTCCCCAACAGTAATGCATTCCCCGCCTCAATGGTGATACTAATTTTCCATGTTTATTAGATTTAAAGCCTGGAATTTATTAACTTAGCAGACCACTAGCTTCTACCAACCCCAAACCAAGCACTGCCCTAAGATAGCACTAAGGCCTCTTGGAGAGACTTTCCCACCTTGTTTCACTGCCTCTCTGATGCACCCACCACTGCATTTGAAAGTTACCCATATTGATGACTTTCTTCGTTCCATTACTGTAAGACTACATTAAACTGATTCCATGTGGAATATTCGATTTTGGAACCTAAGTGTATGTCTCTGGGCTCTGTTTAAGCCTATATGTTCCAGAATAAACCATATTTCTCTTTTGAGGACAAAAAAAAAATAATGAACCTCTTCTTTCATTGTGATCTGGTTGTTTTTGTTTTAGTTTCTTGTTGTTTGTTTTTTGATTTATTTCTAGACAGGGTTTCTCTGTGTAACCATGCCTGTCCTGGACCTCATTTTATAGACCATACTGATCTCAGTTTCACAGAAATCTGCCTGCCTTTGCTTCCCAAGTGCTGGGATTAAAGGTGTACATCACCCACCACTTGGTGAGACTAGGCATATCCCCTCATATTAAGACTGGGCAAGGCATTCCAGCATGAGGAGTAGGGTCCCAAAAAACAGGAAAAGAGTTGGAGACAGTCCCTTTTTCCTACTGTTAGGAGTCCCACAAGAGGACCAACCTATACAACTGTAACATATATGCAGAATACCTAAGTTGTTCCACATTGGTTTAATATGTTCTTTTTGTAGTTTCTGATGAATGTTGGTATTGTCTTTACTTTGAAACTTTTTATAATAATATTGATTATTTGAATTTTTGAGTAAAATAGTAGAACACCAATTGTAACAATGAAACTTCAGATACAAATATCATTTTGAGCCTGCTTTAGCTATCTTTAGTAGTATTTGGTGAATACTAATTTAATTATAGAAGTAATGAAGGAGGAGTCTTTTACACTTCGTATTTTTGTATCAGTGTATTTTGAAAAATGCCTGAGATACAAATTCCAAAAGATAATTTTATTTCTTGAAGCAGTTCTTTCATGGATATGTTGATTTAGATGTATTTGTAGGACATATATTTGGTCATGGCTCACTAGCATTGCTTGATGTACCTTTAGTAGAAATCAAGATTTGGAATTCAGGGTGGAAGTGGGAGTTAAAATTATTAGACACAATACTAAGGGGTGGTATAGTGAAAAAAGAGAAGTGTGAGTGTAAAATTCTTGAAAATATGTAGGACTTTAGAAGAAAATGGGTAAAGACTACTGTCATTCAAAGCTCAATTGCATAGGCAAGTTGAAGAACTAAACAGATCGGTATCACAGAGAAGAAAGCAGGGATGAGGTTTCAAGGAAAGCACTGGTTGAAGATTAATGTAACAAAGTAGTCGAATATGTATGGGTACTTTGTGATCTTTATGAAGGTGGTGGTGATTTTTAACAGAGCATCTTTAGTGAGCAAATCCATCAGAAGCAGGAGTAAGATAGTAGAGACTGAGTAATAGTGACATGTTCCTCAACAACCTGCTTCTGAGTAGAGTACATTGATTGCGTTAGAAACAAAGCTAATCTCTAGAATCCCTTCCTTAGGATAAATTGGGAACCTAAGCACATTTTATGTTATATAAAATATTATATATATATTTATTAAAGATTTCTGCCTCCTCCCCGCCACCACCTCCCATTTCCCTCCTCCTCCCCCAATCAAGCCCCTTCCCTCATCAGCCCAAAGAGCAATCAGGGTTCCCTGCCCTGTGGGAAGTCCAAGGACCACCCACCTCCTTCCAGGTCTAGTAAGGTGAGCATCTATAGTGCCTAGGCTCCCACAAAGCCAGTATGTGCAGTAGGATCAAAACCCAGTGCCATTGTTCTTGAGTTCTCAGTAGTCCTCATTGTCCGCTATGTTCAACGAGTCCAGTTTTATCCCATACTTTTTCAGACCCAGGCCAGCTGGCCTTGGTTAGTTACCGATAGAACATCCCCCCCCATTGTCTCAGTGTGTGGGTGCATCCCTCACGGTCCTGAGTTCCTTGCTCGTGCTCTCTCTCCTTCTGCTCCTGATTTGGACCTTGGGATTTCAGTCCGGTGCTCCAGTGTGCCAAAAAAAAAGAAAGAAAGAAAGAAAGAAACCTTGTCTCAACAAGCAAACACAAACACACAAATGGAAGGAAGAAAAGAATATTTATAGGGGGCTGGAAAGATGGCTCAGAGGTTAAGAGCATTGCCTGCTCTTCCAAAGGTCCTGAGTTCAAGTCCCAGCAACCACATGGTGACTCACATTTTATATTATAATTAAGAAGAAAAATGTTGAATTATTATATAATTTCCTTTCATTTGAATAGAAAAATATTATAAAAATCTGCTTGTTGGGACTGGAGAAATGGCTCAGCACTTAAGAGCACCAGCTACTTTTACAGAGGTCCTAAGTTCAATTTCTAGTACCCACATGGCAGTTCACAACTGCCTATAACTGTATTCCCATGAAATCCATTGACTTCTTCTGGTGCACAGCTGAGAAAACATTTCTCCATATAAAATTCATAAATTAATAAACCATTTTGAATAACCAGACTCTTTTTATTGGGTTGAAGAGAAGGGAGATGTAGATTGGCTTGAAGGAAGGGAAAAGAAGGGGAAAATGAAATGGTGCAATTGCAATCTCAAAAATAAAATAAATAATTTAATAAGCAAAATTTTAAAATCTGTTCCAGACTTAAAATATTGTTGTTCTCTTTCCCCAGGAGAGACTCTGCTTGCCTCACCATATTTTGGAAGAACGAGGGCTTGTGAAAGTTGGTGTTACGGTTCAGGCACTCCTTGAATTGCCTACTACCAAGACATCTCAGCTTTCTATGGCTTGATGTGACAATTAAAAAAAAAACATATGTGTATAATTTCATGTATTTGAAATGATTTCAGATATCTCAAAATCATGAAGAATGTCCAGTAAAAAAAAATAGTTTGCCTTAGGTTTTTTTTTTTTTTTTTTTCAGAATTACGTTAAGATCTCAGATTTAAACTGAGTTGTCCAAATAACTTTTGGAGGAAAATTGGATTAATTTATAGGAGTTTTTGATAAATTGAAATTTTCCTTTTATTATGTCATTCAAGAACCTTGACTGATTTTCAAAATGCAAATTGATACAAAATTTAAAACATGCTTTGAATTTAATAATCACATTAAGTTGAATATTTTTACATCACTGTATACAAGTAATCATCTGGGTAAAAGTAATATTTTAGGAAAACAATTATATATTTGAGTTATTTCATATACTCCTACTTTGTACACAATTTCTTCAATATTTTGTTTTGTTTCCCAGGAAAAATTGAAACAAACAAAACCTTGGCATTATTTAATTCTTTTAGTATTATCAGTTGGTGCCAAAATCTTTTCATTTATATTGTAGGTTGTTTACATGTGAAGTGCCTGTGTAATTGATGAATCTCAAATAGTCTTAAGAATTTTGCAATTTCTTTTTATGTATTAATAGAATCAATGGGATTTTAAAATATTTTGGTAGGTTTTGTACGGTCAATAATATGTGAGGGTTTAAATTACCTCACATTAGTGGTTTCTTAGTCAACCCATTGCAATTTTTTCTTAAATTGGTTCTTTCATGTTGTCAAAAATGTTAATATGCTTAATTTATGCTATTTAATTTTGCAAAAGCATAAACATCTTTTAATTGTTTAATCTGAAGAGTATTTTATTTCAGTGTTGAAAACGTTACACAAAGCAGTAAGACTTTGGAGGGCTAGGGAAGTACTAATTGTCAAGGACATTTTGATGCAACTGTCAGTGTTCCTGTTTATATCTTGACTTATGAGAACATTAAGTACATAAGCGCTGCCTTCCATATTAAAAGAGCGGCCTTTGAGAAGCAAGTTTTGATTCAAAATTTGGCCATTTCTGGATCATGCATTTCTTATGATCCTCAAGTAAATTGATGTTGAATTAAACACATTTTGTTTCATGAAATAGTATTTTCAGTAACGTCCTTGCTTGATTTGAAGATGGATAAACTTATGGTGATAGTAGTGCAGGAATGTTTCCAAAACATTACTGTGATGAATAACTCAGTTTCCTATAGAAGATCCTTCATATTCACTTTTGCAGTAGCCAAACAAGTATCATTTCTTAACTGTGTGATTATTTGCACTTGTTACCTCTTAATATGGATGCAACTTAATAAAAACATTGGCCTGGGTATTTCAAAGGAAATTTATAAAATGTAAAATGTCATGTGCCAAATACTATGGTAAGGATTGATTTTAGGAATAATTCTACATTATTCTGGCCAGTTGTCATGGAGCCATATTTTTTAATCTTGGCTTCAGAATATAGCTATTTTCTTTTTAGTCCCCATGAGTCAAGTTTGAACTATTGAAGAGTGAAAGGTTTTTATTACTGTAAGTTTTAAGAAATAAAGTATTGATAATTTATTATTTAAATATTTGATCTATTTAGATAAGATTAAGTCATTGGATCTGAAAAATATCCCCATTGACATAATGAATCTCATTATCGGAAATCTGGGTAATATAGGTAATTCAGAAAGTACTTTAGCTGATGAATTTTTAATTTAGACAGTTGACAGCATTACAAATTTCAGAAAGTTTAACAACCAAAACAATCACTCATACTTCTCTCATGATTATTGTGGTATAAAATTCCTCTTATTAATCAATCTTGTGTTATTTTCCCAGTATTTTGTGCTTTGTTATTATTGAAATAGTTGTGAAACTTTAGGTAATTCTTCTTACTACATTTCACTTGTCAGTTACATATTACCTTATAGAGAAAACACACCCGAACTTCAGTGCTCATACTTGATAGCAAATAAAAATGCTTTTCAAGATGGGTCCCCTTGGGGCCTGTAACACAGCAGTTCAATTATTATTGTGCCAAAAGGCAATACCAATATCACGTATAATGCAGTTTCAGCATAGTCCACAATGACAACCTTATACCAAGATCCTGCCATATTTCTGTTAGTAACTTTTTAGTGTAAATTTTATCCTAAATGTTTTCTATGGCATTTTATATATTTACTTCATCAGTTATTGAATTAAGAATGGATATCATTATTTGAATGGTTTTGTGATTTGAGGAGGATTGAATGATCTAAGAATATCTAATCGGGCCCAAAACATCACAAGATAGCTACTTCTGTTAAACGTTATGACCACATTGGCACAAGGAAGAAGTGATGTTGGATATGTTTGAATTGAAATGAGTAAAAATGCATAACCATTTGTTTAATACTTATCTTTATAGAATGCTAGTTTAATGACTTTTCTAACTGAATTTTTTGAAGAATTCAGAAATGTTTGTATTAGTCACAGATTTATCATAATTGATTTTCTGATGCATTTAAAAAAATGGAACACTAAATGTATATTACCGATGCAAACTGTGGATAAAATTGAATGAAAACAATCCAAGCTGGAGCTCCTTTTCTTCCTTTTTAGCGTCGCTTTGACTATCAATATCTTTGGTCAGTCGTCGATAGTTAGTGTCTGTGGTCCCTACTGTTGGTGGATATTCAAACCTTGAGTGTTGGTAGTGGTGCTCAGTGAGTGAAGTCTGACAACCTGAGTTTGACTCCCAGGCCCCACATGGTGGCAGAAGAGAACTGAAAGCTGCAAATTGTCCTTTCATTGTGGCTTCCCATGTTCTTACGCTCCATAAGTGCACCTCAGCACACTGTTGACTAAACAAACAGTGCTTTGATAAGCTATATAGTCACCATAGGCTGTTTTAGTTGGGCATGGTGGTACACCTAGAATCTTGCTTCCTAGGGCGTCTAAAGTGAGAGCATCTTTTGAAGGCAGCAGTGTGTAAGGCTAGCCTAACAAATAAGTGAGACTCTGTCTCAGAAAGTAAAGCACAGCAGCAACAAATATATCAAAAGCTGAAGTAGATTGTTGTAAGGCTCATGATTGTTTTTACACTATGTTATTTTCAAGACAATTTTGTTTAAGAAATATTAAGTTATTTAGCTATTTTTTCAATCTAATGTTATCAATGTATGACATAAGCTCTCTGACAAAAGAAAACTTATTTAAAACAACATATAGAGAAGACCATTATGTGATGGTTTTATTGCACATTTTACTGCTTCATATACAACAGAATTATAAGAAATGTATTCTTTTACTGTCAATTGTAATTTTTCTAAACATGCTCATATATAATTGGGCATTGTGGCTCACCATTTTAATTCACTCAGGATAGGAGGATTACAATGAGTTGGACTACAATCTTCTTTATATAATGAGACATCTTCTCGAAAAATAAATCCAAAACCACATATTTTATGAAGTAACTATTATTTGCTTATAATTCTGTTTACCCTAATTGTAGAGCATTTATATATTGCCAGATGCTGTTGAAGAGAATATTGCTATAGTTACCTTAAAGTTACACATTTAGATGAGTTCTTGAGCACATAGCTATTGGATAAAGGAGGTTTAAAGTATTCCACGTGTCTTGCGGAATTTTGGGTGATCTTTACAAAGCACTAGGCTTACTTTCTCCTTTATTAAATCTATAATATTTTATTTGTTTCTCAAATATATAAATTTTATTGCTTTGCAACTTAATGGCAGGAAAAAATTAATTTATTTTCACTGTATTCTATTGACACACATTAATTACATGGCTACAAAAGTAGGTGAGAAATAGATAAGATTTTACATATGTAAATACATAAAAACATATTTTCAAAAACAAATAATATTTGCTAAAATTTTTACTCAGATTCTTCACTAATTTCTAATGTAAACAAATGTAAAATAATGCATTATGACTTATGATATAGTAATTAAAATTATACATTGCAGATGTGTTGTGTAAGCCTGAATATGTATATGGGGTTTTTATTTGTTGGCCCATGTTGTCTAGTAGGGGCAATGCGACCCTGTTGTAGGGTAGTTCCATTTATATTCTTTTTGCAATATGTGTATGTCTGTATTTTAGGAACATTATTAGCTCACTATGAGTTTTATTCAAACCCTTTAATGCTGTTTATGCCCCCACTTCCTCATCTATCCTGTTCTCATCATATTATCTATTCAGTTTACCCACTTCGTGATCCATTTTTCCAGAGCAACCCTTTATACCACTGTGATATCTCTACTGTCAGTTTAAAGTACTCCTGTGGTGCCTTTACTAATTAATTGACCTCTGTGAGTATTTGGAAATGAAACAGCTATCTGAAGATTAAAAGCTAACATTTATAAATGAGAGAAATGTGACAATTGTCTTTCTGGGTTAAGGCTAATTCTCTAACAATGACTTTTGAACTCCATCTATTTACCTTCAGTTTCATGATTAAACCCACACTTCAAGAGCCACATGATTGACAAAGAGGTAAACAACACACATTGGAGAAAAGATAACACCTTCAAATGGTGCTAGCTTAACTGGCTGGAATGTAGAATACATGTAGAATACAACTATATCCCTATCTCTCATGCTGCACAAAGCATAACCCCAAATGTGTCAGAAATATTAATAAAAAGATCCAATAACCTGAAAAACTAACAGAAGAGAAAGCCGGGAATATGATTGAATTCACTGGTACAGAAAGGGACTCTGAACAAGACCCCAGTCATGCAGACATTAAGACATTGAGGAGAGCAGAGAAAAATGTAGAGATCAATAAATATCAATTTGAAAAAAGGAAAAAAAAGAGCAACAATTAGCCTGGTGGTTGTGGTAAATGTCTTTAATCCCAGTACTTAGGAAGCAGACATAAGCAGATCTCTATGAGTTTGAGGCCAGTCTGGTCTACAGTGCAAGTTCCAGGTCAGGCACCAAAGCTACAGAGAAACCCTGTCTCAAATAAACCAA